ATCTATTATCATATATTGCTCAATGAAATACCAGACGATCGGAAGTGTGCTGGACATCACATATTCATTTGTCGAGACCCGGGTCTCGGAACTTGGTACACTTCGCTCGAGTTTCCACTTCACCCCTTTGCAAGGCTCCATGCCATACTACATCATTAGATGACTTTGAATTATTACCTCCATGATATACAACTAGCTGAGCTCCATCATGTCTACAATTATCATTCTCCTGGGCCCACCGTTTATATTATATACCCCTACGTCGGCTTACCCGTCTATGCAATATATGTCTACCATTGGCCCACCCGTATATAATAAATCTTTCACCGCTCCCTCGGCCCACTCGTCTACAAAATAATACCAATACGTCGGCCCACCCGTCTACAAAATAATATTAATTCGTCGGCCCACCCGTCTAATATGATATATATCTGGGCCCACCTGTCTATGTGATAACAAGCACCCTTGATATACCCGGCTATTTGATACATATCTACCTTGGTACACCCATCTACATAATATCCAACTACCTCGGCCGATCCGTCTATTGAAAATTCATGTCCATCGGCCCACCCATCTACTTTACATATTCCCCACCTGGGCCAACCCGTCTCCATCGGGAATAATAACACTCCCGGCCCATCCGTCACAGTCGAGGATATATCTACCTTCGGCCCATGGTCCGCTGGCCCGTATCATACGGGATATTATGCACATCCGTTCACTCGTATAATACGGAGATATGTTACTGCAATATGTGGATTTTGGTATAAACTTTAGCACGGCTCGGAGAGTCTAGTAGGTCGGCAATGAGGGGTAATGGATATCGGTCTTTCTTAGTGATCTGGTTGAGTCCTCGGAAATCCACACAAAGGCAGAGAGAGCCGTCCATTTTCTTGACAAATAGGACTGGAGCTCCGTGAGGAGAGGATGAGGAGCGGAGGAGTCCAGAGGCAATATTTTCATCAAGAAACTTCCGGAGGGCTGCAAGCTCAACCGGGGATAGAGAATAGATAGTTCTGAGGGGAGGACTAGTTTTTTTTCCTCCAGATCTATGTTCAGATCATAAGGACGATGTGGAGGAAGTTGGCCAGCCTTTCCCTTGTTGAAGACATCTGCAAATTTGTGATAGTCCGAAGGGATTTTGGATAGATCCGGAGGATCGGAGATCAACACCGGATGGTCGAGGGTATATACTGAACTGGACTGATCCTTCTAACTTGCAGGCCCGGCAAAAGGCAACTGCATTGATTAGGGATATGTTAGGAACGGTGTTATCAGCGGAGGGTACGGATGTAGTCGGAGGAGGTATGGTTTCTGTTGAAGGAGGGATATCCGAGGATGGAAGTGACGTCGGAGGGGTCGATGGCATTCCATGAGATGTCGTCCGGAATTCGATGCTGCCCCAAAACCCAGTCAATCAACGGATTGTGTCAGGTGAGCCAGCTATATCCAAGAACAATAAAACAAGATGAATCCAAAGGGGTAACATAGAACGTATCAGAGGTGACTACACCGGACGGAAAGCGGACAGACAAATCTATAGCTTCGGAAATAGTATTATTACAAGTACCATCAAACAAGCGGAGCGGAATCGGAGGTATCCGATATGTAGGGATTTTATATTTTTGGATGAACGCAGTGTCTATGAAACAGTGAGAAGAACCACAATCTACAAGAGCTGGAAAATCGGATACGGATGGGAGTAATGGAAGTAAAACATATGGACAGAGGGAAGTCGGATCCAAGAGTGCAACAGCGTTGAGTCTTAACTCCTTTGTGCAGGCAGAGTCAACGCAACCCTCTTCCTGCACGGAGCTAGGAGGGTCGCAGACTATTTTTTTGTCTCAGTAGAGACCTCCGGTTTGACTTCCGGAGCGACTACTGCAGCGTGGCCTTTGGCAGCGCGCGAAGTAGACTTATTGCATTCCCGAGCTGTATGGCCAGGTCCGCCACAGAACAAGCAGAGTTTCTTGTCCAATCTTCTCTGCCGCTCTTCGGACGTTAACTTTCCATCCTTACCCAGCTTGGAATTAAGGTCCAGAACCCTAGGAGCGGACGAGCTCGAGGACGTGGATGCTTTGCAGACATCTGGTTATTGGAGTTGGAGTTCCGGATTTGTTATTTCTGGATCCGGACGCATTGGCATTGGTCCGGTCAGAAGCGGATTGCTTAGGGGTAGTGGATGAAGCAGGTTTAGTCTCTCGGGAGATCTCTCCCTTCCGTTCCCAGTATCGGGCGTCGATAGTCTGAGCAAGGGTCTTGTATTCGGAAAGAGTAGAGGGTTTACCCATGCGACTGATTTCATCCTTGATACGGGCCGGAAGTCCGTTATAGAATTGGCGTCATAAGGCTCCGTCACCCCAGCCACAGACCTGTGAAGCAAGACACTGGAATTCCACAACGTACTTGTTGATGCGCTGTCCATCACACATGTGGAGTTGTTTGAGCTGCATTTCTGCATCACTGGATGGGTCGTGAGGTCCGAAATTGGTTTGGAGTTCAAGCATGAACACGGAATAGTCGTTCATCCAATCCGGATGATCGTCCAAATCATCGGACAGGAGATCCAGTTCAAACCATTCAAGAGCCATACCCTTAAGGTAGGATTGGGCGAAGTTGACTTTAGCCCTTCCGGTACAGAAAGCCTTAGGCTTGCTCTGGAAGTTAAGCTCACACTGGACAAAGAACGCACGGAGCTTCCGTGGTTCGAATCCGTCAAAGGTATCTGGTTCGCGGACCTTGACTTTGGAATCTTCAGATGGTGCACGACAATTATTGCGAGCAAGGTTATCGATGGCTTCTGATAGTCAAAGCATAACGCGGTGTAGGGTATCACAACCTGGCAGGCACATATAAGAAAAGTGCTCAGCCAGTATAAGTGAGTCTCAGCTCTGCCTAGCTGCTATACTCGCAGAATGCAAGAACATTCAACCCTAAAGGGGAAGCAAGGAAAGCAAGGATCCATGGAATGATGCTGAACAACCCTGGTGAATGACGGTGAAAGCGCGAGAAATGTGCTGAAGGCGCGCGCGGGAAAGCGGAATGCGAAAGTGCGCGGAGCGCGGGAAGGTAGTGCAAGTGGTGCACAAGTGTAGACGACGGATACTGAGACTGATAAGGGGAAAAGTGCGGATCTAGATGGATACTGATAGTGCCACTAGCTATAGACTGATGCTAGGGCCTCAAGATGATGATGGATACATGCATTGCATGGAACTAACTGGTAATAGATACTGAGTGGTAGGAAGGTAAGGTGGAATAGTTGGGTGTAAAACGAACATGAGTGTATGTAAGTTCTACCTAAGCGCTCTCCCAGGGCTCGGAGCTGAATAGGGAGCGCTCTAAGTATGTAAGTGAGGTAAAGTGATGTAAAGTAAGGGTCCATGACGAAATAGGAAGTGTAATATGCCAAATATAGTCAGATAACGAAAAGGGACATACCAAGGGACTGGTTGGATGATGGATGGATGCTCCTGGATGATGCGCGATGCAGGGCGCTTAAGCGCGAGAAAGCGCGCAAGGCACGCACGCGGGAATACTGCGCATTGTGCAGGAAAGTGTCGCGCCTATGGCGCGTTTCGCGGGAAGGTGGTGTGCTCTATAGGGAATGACTAGAGGTGATGATAGTGCGAGTCGCGCAGTAAAGGCCAGTCATCAGAATTCGTAAAATGAGCCCATATGTGCCTGCAGAAATGCAAGTCTCTACATCTCCTGGGGACTTTGAATACTGAGTGTCCCCACTCAGAGCGCATCTGGTGAGGATCTCGAGTGAAGTCGGTGATAAGGGTACGTGATGATCATCGAGTATGATGTGTGTGGATGACAGTGCGACTAAATGCGAAGAGGCGCAGCTAATGTGTGATGCGTTCGAGCGTGGGAACGTATTGCTGAAGTGTGAGAATGCATCACATATGGTGGTTTGCACGAAATGACTCTGATGCGGGAATCGTGATATGAACTTGGAACTATGATGATGGCAGTCATGCAAGGGGTGCTCGGCTATTGAGGCAACTGATAGTGCGAGGATGGCGCAGATGTGTCGCGTTAGGCGTGGGAATGCAGCGCGTGAAAATGCGCAAAGTGCGAATGTGCGAGGGAACATGAGAAGGTCAATGCGCGAAGTGCAAATGTGCGGGGAAATGCAAGAAGATGATAGTGTGATGATGACCATGTCCAATATATCTGCGGGGGTATAAGGCGATACTAGGCGGTCCAAAAGCGATCCAATCCATGTCCAAACCAAGTCCCACTAGGCGCTCTAAGTATTAGGTGCTATGGGATTGAATGGCAGGAGTAAAACTATAATCAAAAACGCGAAAAAGAGACAGCAAACGGTGCGTATGTCCAAGTCTGACTTGGCTTCTTCGTTCTTCTGTCAACATCTATTCCTTCCTATGAGCGCGAAGTGTGGGAAATGTGCGCGCATATGAGGCGCGTTCTAAGGTAAAAAGGTGCATGGTGCCGCTTCATGTGTTTGAAGAGAAAATGATATCCTACTGGGTTAGGTGGGCACAATCTATGGTCTTTATGTTGTTTTGTTCTTTTCTTCTAGGCGGTTTTCTATAGGCGTATATATCAGCGCGTTATTAGTCCTTTGGACGACGTTATAATGAGGGAAAATGAAAATGAAAAGTGCTGGACGAAACCCAGGGTAAAACGAACTATATCCTATGAAAATGATGGTATATTTGACGGTATATGGTATTTTGAATTGACGGAGTGGAGAAAGCGGATGGTGCGGATGATGATGGCGAAAGTCGAATGATGGAGTGGATGGGTCGAGGGCTGGCGCATTTGGATCTTCTTTGTCAAGTTCTTCTACTTCTTCTCCTACCAGTGCATTCCTGGTCTTCTTTGTCTAGTGGAAAGTGCGTGATGCTGCAGGTCGAAAGCGCATGAGGCGATGGTGAAAGGCGACTAAGGCGACTGAGGGCAGCAGTATCTTCATCTTCTGACTCTTCGACATCTTTTCCTACCAGGTATAAACCGAAACTTCTTCAAACACGGCTGGATGGCGGACTAGTAACCGGCAGAATGAATTCTTGCACCTTGCGGTACAAGTTGAAGGCGCGCCCTAATGGGGCGATGTAAGGCGCATGGGGGTGCTCTATGGTGAGATAATGTGCGCTTGAGCTCCGCGCACACTCGCGTTTGAGTGCGTTGGAATCTATATCCTCTAAATATGTGAGGAGCAGCTGGTACACTGTGAAAATATTAACACAAGATGAATGATAAGCGGTATTAGGCGTGGATAATGCGCGACTGTGTCTGATAGACTCTAGGTCAAGGGCCAATTGGTGCCACGACATAAACGGATAGCTCTTGATCGGGCACGCAAGGATGATATCAACATGATAGACGGAAGAGTGGAAAATGCGGATAAAGGTGAAAGATGCGAAGTCATAGACAATGATAAATGTTGAAGGTGTGTGAATATAAGCTAGATGAGCGCATAAGTTGCGCTTGGACAGTGAATTAAAACAAGACTGGTTCCGGATGGCAAAGCACGGTTCAAAACTGATGAAATGGTGAAAACGCGATAGCAGGAAACCTCTTTTGCAATGATAGGCGCATATAGCACGGGAAATAAAGCGCGTGGTGCGGGAATGCGGCGCATGAATGACGAATTAACAATAAACTGATGCGGAGATGAAGGTGAAATAGTGGCAAACAGCGTCTGGCTCCTTGAGAGCTTTAAACATGAGATAGACGAGAAATGCGACATAGAATGAGGATGAATATACAATGCCTCTAGGTGCATGACCTGCGCGACCTTAGGCGTATGGCGGCGCGCTGGAGGCGCATCAGAGTCATTTCGCGAGACATGATCTAATTGGTGGATGGGCGATGTGATGCACGGATGTTTCACCGGCAGACGGTAATCACTGTAAGCGGAAAGCGCGAAATGTGCGGAATGATCAGTGACCGATGGGGTTACCAGAGATATACTCTGGTCGGAAGGTAGCGTGTTTTGAGCCTCTGGTACTGCAGAAGACTCCAGATTGGGCGCATTAGGATGTGATGGATGTTTAGAGTCATCCCTGACTGATGATAGATGTTTAAAGTCATCACTGACGGGCGGTGGTATGGTGCACGGATATTGCACCTGCGGATGATGGTCACTGTGTGCGGAAAATGCAACAAGCGTGGATGTGTCAGCGACAGATGGAGTTTCCAGGGACATAACCTGGTCAGATAGCAGCACGTATTGAACCTCTGATACTTCAGAAGGCTCCGGAATTGGCACGCTAAAGTGCAATAGATGTTTAGAGTCATCACTGACTGCGGATAGATGTTTTAAGTCATCGCTGACTGGTGGCGGTATGGTGCACGGATATTGCACCTGCGGATGATAATGGTCACTGCACGCAGAAAGCGTGATGAGCGCAGATGTGTCAGCGACAGACAGAGTTTCCAGGGACATAACCTGGTTGGATAGCGGCGTGTTATTAGCCTCTGGTGCTTCAGAAGGCTCCGGAATAGGCGCGCTAATGTGCAATAGATGTTTAGAGTCATCCCTGACTGCGGATAGATGTTTAAAGTCATCCCTGACTATCGGCAGTATAATCTCCTCCAGAGGCGCTTCTAGGAGGATTGGGACAGTGATAGGCTCGCATACTTCGAGCTGGGGTAGAATATCTTCGGCTGGTGGATACTCAGGTGCGGATGCGGGCTCTTGAGGTGCGTTTATGATGCGCACTTCGATTTGGACTGAGGGCGGGGCGATGATGTCGAGGGGCAATTCTTGGACTACTGGGATGGGGGCGGCGTCGCATACTTTAGGTATTGGTGCGATGACTTCTGGTTCTGGTTGCTCTTGAGCGCGTTCTGGTTGTGGAGGTGCGCTTGCAAGGGGCACTTCGATGGCGGCTGGTTTTTCGAAGATAGGGCATGTATAGTGGTCAACGCCACATTCTAGATAGAAATACAAGACATGATCAGCGAATTCTACATAGTTGTCACCTTCGTAGTATGAGAGAAGCTGCCTTTGTTTAGGTGCTGTATACTTCAGTGCATACTTGATGATCTCCTTGTCCGTTAAACCAAGCGGTTGCGCGAGTCGTTCTACTGACTCCAGGAAGTTGACGAGCTGAGTATAATCGCCTGCAAAGCGTGGTGCTGAGTCGGCTATTCGAAGGGGCATGCCGGATGAATCTACTGGGTTGTACATGGCGCGGGAATTTGCGGTTTAAGTGCGAAAAGATGCAAGAAAGTGCGAAAAAGCGTGGATTTGTGGAAAAGGTCGAAATTGCGGATGAAGTCGAAAGTGCGGATGGCGGAATAGAGTTGAAAGGCGTGTGGATATGCTGACTGTTCCCCTCGCGGTGGGCTCCAGTTGTGGGTATCACAACCGGGCAGGCACATATAAGAAAAGTGCTCAGCCAGTATAAGTGAGTCTCAGCTCTGCCTAGCTGCTATACTCGCAGAATGCAAGAACATTCAACCCTAAAGGGGAAGCAAGGAAAGCAAGGATCCATGGAATGATGCTGAACAACCCTGGTGAATGGCAGTGAAAGCGCGCGGACAGTGCGAGAAGCGCGGGAAGCGAAGTGCGAAAGTGCGCGGAGCGCGGGAAGGTAGTGCAAGCAGTGCACAGGTGTAAAAGATATATACTGAGACTGATAAGAGGGAAAGCGCGGATCTAGACGGATACTGATAGTGCCACTAGCTATAGACTGATGCTAGGGCCTCAAAACGATGATGGACACATGCATTGCATGGAACTAACTGCCAAGTACATGGTGGTAGAAAGATGGTGGTAGGAAGCTAAGGTGGTATAGTGGGGTGTAAAATGAACATGAGTGTATGTAAGTTCTACCTAAGCGCTCTCCCAGGACTCGGAGCCGAATAGGGAGTGCTCTAAGTATGTAAATGAGGTAAGGTGATGTAAAGTAAGGGTGCATAACGAAATGGGAAGTGTAATATGCTAAATATGGATCAGATAACGAAAAGGGACATACCGAGGGACTGGTTGGATGATGGATGGATGCTCCTGAATGCTGTGCGACATCGTGCGCTTAAGCGCAAGAAAGCGTGCAAGGCGCGCATGTGGGAATACTGCGCGTTGTGTGGGAAAGTGTCGCGCCTATGGCGCGTTTCGCGGGAAAGTGGTGTGCTCTATAGGGAAGTCATAGTGGATGATAGTGCGAGTTGTGCCATGAAGGCAGTTGTCAGAATTCGTACAATGAGCCCATATGAGCCCACAGAAACACGAGTCTCTACACCGCGTGCAGAGTTGTTTGCGTCTTGGTTGGAGGCATGATAGGTGTAAGTAACTCGGAAAGGTATGAGTTCAAATATACTGTTAAGACCATACTCAGGTAGTATCGGATCCGAAGGGCTTCGGCCTCAGCTCGTGCGCTGTGCCCCTTTCCCGAGTCTTGCCCCTTATTTCAGAGTGTTAGAGTATTGCGTCTATTGAGACAGATAAGTCTCGTAACGGATCCGTTAGGGCTTCCGGATATCGAACATATATAGTAACAGTGTAGAGATTCACATTTCTCCAGGCTCATATGGGCCAAATTCACGGCTTTTCACGATGCACTCGATATCCTTGCAACGCGCATTTTGGCGCATACCAGCGCGTTCGAGTGCATTCGAGCGCGTTACGGTGCACTTCGTCGCATTTCCTTAGTATCTGTTGCCTGTCCTCCGCATGTCCCGTCCTAGTCCTCCAAGGTCCATTGGTGCGTTTTCCCTTCTTCAGAACTCATACTCCGTCACGCAGGCACTAGTACTTATCATCATATCTCGTTATGGACCCTGACTTACCTCACCATTTACCTTAGTACTTCCTATTCGGCTCCGAGCTGTGGGAACTTGCTTAGCATACCTACACGTCACCATGTTTGTTTTCCTGTCACTTACTTCCGCTCCACGACCATCGAAGTGTATAGCTCGAGTTTCTATCTGAATACACTGATTTTCCTTCCTATTGGCGCTTTGACACCTTTAAGTGTCTATTTCTACATCTATCAAAGTCCTGATTCCCCATTTGATTGTCATCTCTACTTGAAGCACTCCATTGTGATCGCACGAAGTGCGCTTTTCCGCACTTTCTGCCTTATTAGCGCGTTTAGGCACCTTTAGCTAGCGCACTTCGCTTTTGAGTGCATTATTTGCCTCAGAGTCCCATTCAGGCTTTGAGACCGAACCGCTGGTTATAGATCCCCCTCACCTTTCACTAGAGGAATCTTTCTCAGTAGCAATCCCCTTGGGACGACTTTCCACTCGTATCCAGAGGAGCACTTGAGAGCCCACTTCCCACTCTTCCCCCTAGCACGCAGCTATCATTCTTCGCCCTCAATGGCTAATCCGGAATGGATCCGAACTAGAAACTAACGGGTGAGGACTGTCCAAAGACAGAGATGGATATATAGACTATAGGAATCAATCCTAAGTCTCGGAATAGACAAGAGTATCGTACTTGAGTCCGGACGGATAACGGAGGGACTTAGAGTCCAGACAGAATGAGTGCAATCTAAGATGATATTCGAACTGATCTACTACAGCGCATGTACAAGGGTTTATATACTACGGATCACTAATGGAGTGATCAATAAGCAAAGGCACGAGGCTATGTACAAAGTATAAGCAAAATATGTGTACAGCATATCGGTAAGTCGGATGGATAACAAATCATAACCGGGGAATGAAGTATAAGCTAAAGCGGATCAGTAAGCATAACAGAATTAAAGGATAACCGGTATACCGGTGTACAGGAATGCCAAAAGGAGATGAACGATAGTTAGAGTTATATGAACAGGACATGAAATAAGAATCAGATTGGAATCTGTGGACCGGACGACAGATATGTCCATCGGATCTGGATCGGATCTGAGATCCGGATCTTTGAATCTGTACCTGGGAATATGGTATATGACAACACCCCACCTTACCACCTTACCTTCCTACCACTCAGTATCTATCACCAGTTAGTTCCATGCAATGCATGTGTCCATCATCGTTTTGAGGCCCTAGCATCAGTCTATAGCTAGTGGCACTATCAGTATCCGTCTAGATCCGTACTTTTCCTCTTATCAGTCTCAGTATCAGTCTTCTACACTTGTGCACCACTTGCACTACCTTCCCGCGCTCCGTGCACTTTCGCACTTTGCTTTCCCGCGCGCGCCTTCAGCGCATTTCTCGCGCTTTCACCGCCATTCACCAGGGTCGCTCAGCATCATTCCATGGATCCTTGCTTTCTTTGCTTCCCCTTTAGGGTCGAACGTTCTTGCATTCTGTGAGTATAGCAGCTAGGCAGAGCTGAGACTCACTTATACTGGTTGAGCACTTTTCTTATATGTGCCTACCAGGTTGTGATACCCCACACCGCTGCCCACGAATAAAAGTCTGCCGTCGAACACATGCCCGACCAATTGGTGCCCATCCACTTTGTTGTTGATAGGTGCGATCATCAACACTGGATTCGTCGAGCCACAGGAAGCATTCCATTGGTATGTCTCCGTATTGAGCCTGCCAAGTTGCCTGAACTAGCTCATCTCTCTCTACAGCCTCCTTTGATACCTGCTTGTGTGTGAGTGCAAGTCTCCGAAGTGCTCGTGATATAGTTGCAATTGAAACATCAACATCACGAACAGAATGAAGTTGCTGCTGTATCTCATCTATATATAGACCTGGGTTGGCTTCAAGTATGGAGTAGATGTAGTGTATGTCGTCTAGCTCAACACTACGAGGCCGAGCATTCTGACGAGCAAATGGATTAGAGGTTTGGCCAAAATTGCGATGCAACTGTAAAATGTCATAAATGGTCTGTTGGAACAATCTGCTAGCTCGGCGATCTCTCATGCACTCTTGCCATGTTCATAACGCCATGCCATGATGCGTTCTCTGAGCTGCGGGCTGAGGTGAGGAGCCATGGTGTGACAAGTCACAAATATCTTACTAAAATGGACGAACAAGCCCGACCAAACACGTTTTTCTGTGCGAATGGCTGCAGTTTTTAATGCAAACCACTGTAGCTCATTTAGCTACATAATTTGGTGAGTATTTGTGTACCTTCTCTGTTCTGCCTAAGCATACTAACTGTTGTCCCTCACCGCTGTGACAATCATACCAGTGCTAGGCGCATATGAGTGTCATAGGCATATTTTGCCTTGCCTAGAGGAAAAAGAGTAAGGTGCTAGTCACCAGCACTATCATTCCCAAGTTATCCGCTTTGGAACCACTTTTCTCCCATAGCACGCTGCCCAGTCTGATGCCTAGGTATTCCGTCCTCCCATGTCCTGCCTATGTCCACCTACCTCCACTGGTGCGTTATTGTTCCTTAAATGTCGCTACTCATCAGTTGCAGGTCTTATTAAATGTATCCTCGTGTTCCGCAGCACAGCATGTTTTATTACCCTGTCGCTACATTGTGCCCTTGCCAGTGTCGCTACTATACTCACCTATGCAATTCCAAACCTTTACGCAGTATGATAAAATGACCCATCGCACATACAGTACAGTACTTCCCTTCCCTGGACCTTTGCTGGTGTTGAAGTCACTTTAGTCGCTATATCCTAGTCTTGGTGCAATCAATTCCGCTCTTGCCAAATCTCTCTGATCACGTGTCGCTTGACTTGCTTTAAGTGCACGTCGCTAAAGTTCCCTCTTAAGTTTGACTTTCGCAATGTCAGGATCGCTATCGGTAGTTGAGCTACAATCTAGTCACTACCAGGCATTTCACTTGCACTGTCTTATCTTACTCCTTACTTTCGCTCCCTTTGATTTCTTCTCACTGTTGCTAGTCGGACGTCACATAGCGCTGTCGCATAAAAACAACTTGCATAGTGCTTCTCACTATACGCACGTTTCTCTGTCAGAACTCACTTGTCGCTGATCGCTATATCCACTACTCATGAGTTTTGGTCTTAGGTCGCTATAGGTTTTTTAGCCCTTCGCGCTATCACTTCCCTTGCTTATTAGTAGGGAGTTGCTTCAATAGCAGTCCTCTTGGGTCGAATACTACACTCGTGCCTATTTGGATAAGTAGCGCTAGTTTCTAATTGCCTAGTCGCTATTTCTCTTTCACACCGCTATGGGGAGACAGTGTCCATTCCACACAACGTCGCAGAGGGTCACAATGACTGTACTTCGTCATACAGGCCCACAGACTACATCTGCAAACCTGACCCATATACGAGCAGACCGCCTGCTGACACGCACAAA